CCTCGGCCCTCCCTTTCAGCCCCCCCCCCCCCAAATCGAAAAGAGTTTCCTACGGCCCTGTACCATACGTCCAACTCTTAAATTTTATATTAATTGTATTTATAACAAGACTGTGACATTAATTAAACTGACATTAATTAAACTTGTGCGCCCCTGCTCACAGCACCATTCCGCATCATCTTATAAAGGTTTTGTCTCCACCCCAGATAGTGGTCACGAAACCTTTAAACTATCAAGGTTTAGAGCACACGGCCCACTGTCTAAATGTTTTCAATTGTATTTCCGGAGCAACTAAATCCCCGGATAAACGAAAGCATTAGCGAAGTCTAAAGTTCATTAATAATCGCGGCATTAATAATCGCGCATTAATAATCGTGGCTTTGTTTTATGGTGTTATGGGTGGACCTCCTCCCTGATCTCAAAATTAATCAAAAGTGGAAAGAGTGGAATTTGCGGGGGGAGATTGAAAAACATTGTTCAGAAACCCAAAAAAACGTTGATGAGAAAAGAAGCCAAACAGTTTATTTCAAGGGAAGCTCAGATTGAACCTCCACTCATTGAGTGTGAGTGAGCTATAGAATACAGGCGTAAATCCCAATGAAGCGAAGATGAAGTTGATAATGTATTGTAGATTAACGGACGGGCGTTACTCGTGAGAGTATACAGTATACTAGTTGAGATAATTTGTTTACAAGCTATAAGCTATAACTCGCTAACTCTCACTCTCGCCGTTAGAACAGGGCTGCTTACTAATGCATATCAATTCGACTGTTTGTACGACACCATGAAGTTAGAATAGAATTCTGGGTCGTTCATGCACTCTATCAGCTTTCTCAGCATAATAAAAATTATACAAGGTGTCTATACCCTTTGAAATCAAGCCTTTGTTGGAATTTGAATGCTATATGTGCTGAACCCACGGGTGCTTAATTTAACCAGAATAGAAGTGATATGACTAATTAGTAATTTGAAATTTTTTTATGCAGTTATGCTCTTTAATTCATACGATTAGAAGCTATTTTAAATTCCCAGGACCTGCCCGGCCAGGAGTAGAATATCTTGTATTTAACCTGAATCGGCTTAGTTCTTTATCCCTCCTGCTAACTCATTAGTATTAAGATATGGCTGTTAACCCTGGCGAGCATGCTCATAGGGAGAAACAAAGAGTTAGCAGAAGGGCGGGGTGGGAGGGAGAGAATGTTATTTCTTCCACGTTCACGGTAACTGATGTCTAATTATTCATTAGTGCCTTTATATAATGCCAATGACGTCACGCAGGTTGGATCATGAATATTAATTGGTTTGAATAGTTCTTTATCCCTCCTGCTAACTCATTGGTATTAAGATATGGCTGTCAATCCTGACTGCGCAGCTACGTCCGCAGATCGTGCTTACTCGTTCCCTTACTTACTCTCCTTCCCCACAACGTATTACCCCTGAATCTTATTTCCCAAACCTTATCTCCCCCATCACTCGTTATTCTAGTAATCCGCTCAATTGTAGCGTTATATATTGATTGCTCTTAGCATTTCCATTCCTCATCGCGCACCCCTTACCAATCTTATTGTCATCACACTCGGTGACCTAACGCGCACGCAATATAAGATCGTATTCAACGTTAAATACAAACTCGAAGTATGTCACGTCTCTTCAAAAAGCTTGAGTAGATCCCAATAAATCATTACGTTGACGATATATTGCACCCCAATTATCAGAGCTCAGATTGGCCAAAATGTCACTAGCCCCGCCAGGCGTCATTACTTGCTGCAGTTGCAAGTAATGATTCGTTGTCGCGGACGTTTTCCATCCAACGTGCTGCATGATGACCGGCAATTCAGCACCGGCCAAAGCTAGGGATATAGCACAGCCACTTCGAAGACCATGCAAAGTCATCCTACACAGCCAGAAACGCGCAAGTCGGAAC